GATATTTTGGTGCATTAGACATGTAACAAAACTTTTTCATCTGTTGAAAAGAGTACCGACCAAGATTTCAGTAGAATTGCCGGCAAAAATCATATATATGGAAGCAAGCGATAACCAGTGAAATCTCGAATATGAAGTAACTTGAATGTTCAAAATATTTCGTAAACTAAAGCTTTTCGTCTGACACTCTTTAGAGTTTAAAACGTCAGAACATAGATCGAAAACTCCACGCTAGGAAAAATAATTACCCAGTTGTGGAAATATATATTTCCTAGCGTAGAGTTTTCGATCAATGTTCTGGAGTTTTAAACTCTGAAATGTGTCAGACCAAAATCTTTAGTTTACTAAATGTTTGCTTTTTTCAAAGCCATTTTCAAGTTTTGTACCACCAAAAGATTGTTTGCATATTTCAAAATATTTCTTGTGTTGTTGGTGTTGTTTTTTCATCGGGTAGACAGATCTTATAAGAAACATTTTCTTCATTAAATGCAGATTGTTTAAAATAGTCATCATTGATTTTCCGGTCAAGATTATTAATGAACACTGTGATTAGCATTAAAAAACGGTTTCTATTGACAGTGCTCGTTGCAAGAACCACATAGGCAAAAGTTGCTTTAAAGAGTTCGCTGTCCTACCACGTCATAATCAAACTTTTGATTAACACTATTCCTATGATCGCAATTGCTTTATAATTAAAGTATTTTAAATACGTGTAACAAACCTTGCTTTGAGATATGGTCGTTATATTAGAGCTTCAGGTTTTTTGATTAAATTAAGAGTGCATTTCGTAATAACAGAGGATCAACAGCAGTTATTCAGGATAACAAGCCAAAAGCTTCTGAATTCAAGTGGGCGTTGAAAATCCTTATTAAATGTTTATCAATTGAACGCGCAAAGTCTATGTTAAAATGAGGGTGTTTAATCTAAATAATATACGATTTTAAATTGTAAGATGGGAAAAAGTCGCGCTTGAATTTAAAACTCAACTGAAAAGGCTACTCTGCTATCCTGAATCATGTTCTCATTAAATGTTCGTCTTCATAGCAAGAAATCAAGGCTTATTTTTCTGCCACAGATTTAAGCTCCTTCACGTCAATAAACCAGAAATGTAATTTTTAATCGCCGTTGACCAATACTTAATTTAGTTGGTATTACGAGAGGATTTCCACAGATGTCATATCAAGGGATTCTTTTTGACTGCTTGACATTCATAATAGCTATTTCGCAATGCCTCGCCAAAATGGCTGCAATAACAACCAATGTAGACTGGCCTTGTTGGCTATTTTGTGAGCTGATAACAAATCCAATTACTGAGAATATTTCTAGAGCAAATTTTAAAAGAGAAATTGCTAGAATTCCTTGATTCATATTAACGGCAAATCACAACTTAACAACCATATATAACTAAATTTTAACATGGCAGCGTCACATTCTTTAGTTTTAATCGCACTTTAAATTGGTATGCTTTAAACACCAAACCTAGACACATTGTGCTGATGTCATTGCAAGCATATTTGTAACCAGTGAGACTGGCAGGAGGAGGCTAGATAGAAATACTATGTTCCGACCTATCGCTGCAAACTGGCTGGTATTAATGACATTTCTGAGAGTGCAAGCAGCACGAGAGGTGAATGGTTCTAGGCGAAAGATGAAAAATAACGGCTAACTTGATTAAGTTTTTTATTAATGGCACACAAACAGTCAAAAATGCATTCTGAATTATATTTTATAAAGCCACTAATTTTCCGAGCGTTAAATAAAACATTAAAACCATTAAAAAGATTTCTAGGCTACAAGGACAGTGCTGACGCTTTATTCAGCAAAAGAGCTCATATCAGATAGAAAGCTGTGCTCATCGAAAAATGTCCTGCTCTAAAATCCCGATGCAACCACACCTCGTGATTTCTACACGCTTATTCAAAGCAAAAACTCGGTAATGGCAAAAACTCGAACCCCAGAACATTAAAACTTTAGTTCTTGAGCTACATCACACCTAATTGGCATTTACATTTAATCCATAATAGATTGTCGAAGATACCCAAAGGAAAGCCTAGCAGCAAAACGCTATGAGAGAAGTCAATCTTTTATCCATGCTTTCTATGAATAAAATTTCACAATGCTCCTAGTTAAATTGGCCGAACCTCTTGAATAACGATGGTAGCACTCAAGCTACATCTACTAACACAAGGACTATACTTGTAAAATCATCCAGTCTATGCTGGATACTATTAATAAATTCAGGCGCAATATCACAGGACAAATCTCCTCAACACTAGCTAGATTCATTGATTTATTCTTTGAAAAAATCATCAACATAAAAGTGAAATGGATTATCAATATATGCCTCTTACTTGTGAGTGTTTCACTATTATCGCTTGAGAACCAAATATCGATGTCTCCTTTATGATTCATAGAATATCAAATATCACCATTCGCGATAGCTGCTGTTGCTCTTCAAGCGTCTACAGAAACCGTCAATAAACTGTTTACTGTTAAAAAATAGTTTTCAAAGATAGAGACAGGTCTTCAAAGATTGGAAGGGTATCATATCTTGTCATGTTTGCGGCAGAAATATAAGAGTATCTATATCCTAGAAAGCTTCTCGAATTTGAAAGTATAGCATCAATGGTACGCTATTGTTAATGTTCTCCAAAACATATTCAACAGACAATAGCGCGATCAAATAAATTGCCAAATGAGAATTCAAAGAGTAGTATTTCAAAAGTAGAAAAGCGAGTTAAACAGGTGTCTTTATTTTAAAATGAGAAACTCGAAGGGTTCTCTGCCAAAACCTTTCTAGGGGACACTAGATGTTGCAAAGCAGCTTTGATCGTCTTGATAAGTTTTCCAAGCATTGCAGACAATTTGATGCTATTAGAGCAACCGTAGTTATAGAAAACAACAAGCCAATATTAAGAAGACTTCATGGAGTGTAAAGCAGTCTACGAGAAACGACCAGATTTACGTATTCTATGATAGCAATGAGGTCTACTGAGTAGCCTGTAGACTGTAGCTTTCACAGAGCAAGTCTCATATTAACTAACCAAGGGGTGGAGGCTTCTTTCTAAAATGCGCGTGGCTGATTATGGGAGCTTTTTCTAAGTATAAAATTATCAGTTAAATGATATTGGAACAGCTTCAGTAATCTATCAAATACAATCATGTTATTCTTTAAAGATGGGTCTTCAATCCATGATTATGCAATTATAGAAATATGGTATAGGATAGGTATAGCATGGAAGGATACGGTATACATTTTCTAGTACGGCATAGTTATGGTAATACATTATCATTCCTTGCCATATTTTACCTGGTATGTTATGGTATGGTATGGTATGGTATGGTATGGTATGGTATGGTATGGTATGGTATGGTATGGTATGGTATGGTATGGTATGGTATGGTATGGTATGTTGGTATGGTACGGTATGGTATGGTATGGTATATGGTATGGTATGGTATGGTATGGTATGGTATGGTATGGTATGGTATGGTATGGTATGGTATGGTATGGTATGGTATGGTATGGTATGGTATGGTATGGAGTGGTATGGTATGGTATCTATGGGATGCTATCTATGGTATGGTATCTATGGTATGCTTTCTATGGTATAATAGAGTTTTTTATTGTAAGGTATGGTTTAGTATGTATCGTGTAGGATAGTTGAGTATAGTATGGTAGGGTATGGTACAATTGATATGGAAGAGTATGTTATGGTATATTAGGGTATAGTTTGCTATGTATGGTAAAGGATAAAATAAGATTGTGAAAGTATATGTTTCATGCATATAGAATAAGAAATGTAAGATTTCATGCATATGGAACAAGATATATGTATGGTATAGTAGGGTACAGCCTTACTTGCTCAATAACTAACTTGCTCTTGGTAACTTGGCATGTAGCGAAGAAAGAGCTATCTGGTCTCTACAATTATACGTTTGAGGTGTGAATAGACTGACTGTAGCACTGGGTCTCTTTAAACATAGTAACTAGAGGGGCAGTTGTCCTTCAAGGACCAGCAACCTCCATTTGTTTAAGATTATAGACAAGTGTTACCTTTTCACAAGAACAAATTCTTGGACCTTTAGCTGAAGGTCATAGAAATGGGTATAAAATAAAGAGTATACAAGCATACAAGCACTGTCTTAAATCTTTTGCACTTATATCAGTTCCATGTAAGCTTAGACGCTGAACTGCAAAAAAACTCTTGCAAGGCACTCAGCCGTCCCAGTGAGTTGTATACAGCCTATACGCTGAGCAGTTGATCAGATTTCGGCGTTTTCTGTGGAGTTGCTGTGAAGTAATCAGTCATCCCTCCTGGAAACACTGATTGCAAAATCATGATTAACAATGCCAAAGTCAGCTCCGTTATTTCACTTTAAAATGCTAGGTCAAATGACTTTACATCGGCCCTTTTTAGCCTCCATACACTTAATTGCAGATTAAAACTAAAGAATGTCTGAAACCACAATCAGCTAAAGTCATTAAAAATGAATTTCCTTGTAAACGGGGTGTATGTTGAGAAAAATATCAATGATTTCATACGATGAAATTGCAGCTACATGAGAAAGAGTTCTCGCTTTCTAACGGTAGGGAATTTTTCAAACTTTCAGCTAGTTAATGATATATTTGTGCGTATTGAAGACACTCTGCCTACGTGCGAGGAACTTCTGTTGAATCTCTTCAAGTACATGTGTGTTTATAAACTTTATCAGGTTCTGTTGAATCAGGCCATCTGCTTGGCATCTAAACTTTGCATAATTTCGCCGAAATCCAACAGACTTTGCAAAAAACTGCCAAAACTAGCTTCAACCTCAACAATACAAGGCACCAAATGTACACAAACCCGGAAGATATATCATCATCGCTAAATTTAGCATGGTTTTACTTGCACGCTTGGCTGCACGATTCGTCTTGAACTTGTTATCGCTAATTAACCTGAAATATTTATCATTTGTTATCACAATGTTTCTTAAAAAAAACGAACTGTATTTTATAGATTGGCGAAACACGACTGCAGCCCAGACGCAAAGATCTTTGAGTAAGTAAAGATATGTAATTGCCGCAGGTTCATTTATGGTGAATTACCAATTCATGTGAAAAATTGGCAGGTCATTTAATGTAAGCAGTTAGTATTTTGACAAAGCAACGTGAAGTAATGACTATGGTTTATTTATAAACAACTGTTGAATATGGATTGCAAAGTAATTACAAATGGAGTCAAGGACTGATTAGGGATAGTACGGACAGAAAGAAGTTGTCAGCTTCTTGACAGCTATCAGCTTTCGCGTGAATTAATATTTAATAAGACAATCAAGTGTCAAAAAATGCGTTTCAAGAGGTTTTGTGACTTTTTATGAAATAAGACCTAGAAAGTTCATACCTCAATTAAAAAAATCATTCTGAATCAAACCCGTATGAAGTCTACTCCTTTACAATTAAAGCAGATGTCAAAAACTTTGAAGGTAAACAAAGTGAGGCAGGACACGAATAGCCTGACTATGGGAAATACTTGAACCCTGACTTTGACATCACCTTGATCCTGACATCACCTTGACCTTGACATCACCGTGACCTTTTCATTACCTCGACCTGTTATTACCTTGACCTACGCAGTGGCAAGGTGTCATGTTTTTGTCAATGTCCGTTTCACTCGCGCGAGTCAAAAGTAACGTGAAGGATGAATGACTCAAACTTTGTCAGGCTTAGTTCTATTGTTTTAATCCCTTCTTGCTATAGAGTGCAAAGGCTTTTGTAGAGTATCAAGTGTGATGTCAACAAAATGCTACTTCTAGAACTTTTGAACTAAGTGCTCGTCACACTTGTTTTTGCCAAGTGCATTAAATTTGGAACAAAGTCCAATTCATTGTAATTATGATGGGCAATATTTATGGTGCATTACACTTTGGCAATTTTTAAACAAGTCATAGATCATAGATCAATAAATCAAAGGTCAACAGATCAATTCACTTTAGTTCGTTTTTCACGTTTGAATGCAATCTTTATTTAATATAGCATAATATAGTAACTAAAAAGGAAATAAGAGAGGAGATCAAGGAAAGATAAGAAAGTCAGGGAAGGCAATCAGTATTTAACTGGAGAAAATACATGGATTTCCAGGTCTAGCTGAGTACTGTGTGACAGCTTGCAACCTTAGTATCTTTACGGCAGTTATATTTTTGCTTGTTCTCAATTGTTCGTTGGGAGCATCGAAAATGCAAGAAACGAACTTGTGGAAGGGGTTATGCTGCACAAGGTATAGGCCATAGCTCTCTAAAGTTTATGCGGTCAAAGCAAGATTAGTGTGCCCTCTTTAGAGAGCTATAATCTCTAATTTTTGAAAACCCAAAACATTGTCGAAACTTTGACCAAGTACAAAGCGTTTAAAAGCAAGTTAAAAATTGTGACTGAAAACATGGAATTCTGCCACTTAATAGAGTAAGACTGAACACATTTGCCCGCAATAGAACTATCGGTGATAGAATTTTTTCAGTAAAAAGCAAATCGCTGAATACTCTGGATATAGTTTTGTCAAATGCCTTTCTTTTTGCCAATGTGTAGTCGTTTATAAAGAAAATTTAACAGTGATAGTCCGCAGCCTCATTACCATGTCAATGTTGGTTCACAGTTTACAGAGCCTTGGGGATGTAGTCCATGGACAAATGAATAGGAAATTTCCATAATACTTTTTGTAGCCACCAATTTGAAAAACTAAGGCCTATTGCAAATTATGGAGCATTGCCAAGAATAATGAATTCTAGTAGCGGAGAAATCAACATTGAACTGCGAGGAAGAGGTATGAAAACTCAACACTGTCTGCCTAGGATGGTAAGCCCTCCCTAAATTCATAAAAACTGTGCCCTTCTGAGCGATGTTTTTTAGCTGATAAAAAGAAAGTAGAAAATAGAGAAAATCTATAACGTTCTTGAAACTATGAAAGTCTAAACGATATTGTTTGTGACGGATATCTTCGGATGACATATGGAAAATTCTGCCAAAAGAGCCTTTCTTTGGCCAAATCTCGGAATTATATCCATTGCATGAACTCAAACTCTTAAGGTGAAGCAACTGTTTGGTTTTTAAAAGTATGAACATCTTCTCTACAATGATGCTGTAGTGGCCAATTAAGGTACTTCTAATCAAAGAAGCAAAACATGCAAAGCAGATTTGCAAAATTCATCTTTCGATAACGCAGAAGACTTGGATGACAAACATGCTGCAGCATGAAACCGCCAATTAAAAACGATCAAGCACAACCAAAATGAAAACAACAGGAAAAGATAAATAGCTATCACAAACAACTGTGAAAAAGCAGCAAAAAGAGTTCTTTATCTTTTTTGTCAGCAAGAGCAAATGAATTATTAAGATCAACAACGAAAATGCAACATAGCCCGAAGTCAAAAACGGTTGCGATTATTCAGGTGTCTTCCTTTGGTTATCAATTTTTCATAGATTTGGCATACTTTTCGAAGCAGATTTTTTCTAACCGTTTGCTAACAATAACACTGCCATAAAAACATTGGTGATAGAAAGGCTGGTCTCCATGTTTCGAAATTAAGCAAGAAAAAGCCTTAAAAAGAGTTGCAGAAACACATTTGTACTTGCAAATATAGATTTGTCTTTCGTCTTTAGTTTTACTTTCTTTCATTGATAAAAACATATTTTTTCTTCTAAAATACCTTAAGAGTTAAAATCTCTAAATCTCATATTTTTTTAGTTATCCAAACTGGGGCAAGAAATTAGATAGCAGATTTTGGAGGGGAGGGGTGATTTCCAATGGTAAAGAGACTGGGGTGTCTGATAAATCTAACATCAGAATACATCACCGCAAAACAATTAGCAAAACTCATTTAAAATTACCTTTTAAAAAAACTATCGTTAATCTCTTGTTTGTGTGGGCTGCCTGACATAGCATTGTAAATTAGGGTTGATAAAAACAAGACCACGAGTCTTTTGCAAAAATGAACTTCTGTCCGCACCAAAGAGTATTACTGTAACCACTAGATGACTGGTTTTTACATACAACGTTTAGTCTATCTCTTGAGCAAATTAAAGCATATTAGAAGAAATTAAAGTCAGTAAATCAGTCTGAAACGGCACAGTCACTTTTAAACAGCTCTTAAATGCCCTGGCGCACAACAACTTTGATAACGGCAGTTCTCAAAGGATAGCAGCGTCAGCAATTACATCATCGACGTACTAGCTTGAAATTAGATGGCATTATTGTCATTATTAAGAAACGGCCATCCCTCTCTGTCTCCAAATCTCTTTTGTTTTCCATTACGGCTACAATGTGAATACCCGCTAAAGTCATAAAATAGGATATCACTCTTAATGGTAAAAACCGAGAATGGAGTAGCATCGACTGTTCGACAAAGGATTCAGAAGATATCCTTTTTATCACAAACTAACACCTAAGTTGGATTATAAACCTATGAATATCTGCTGATCAGACTGAAATTAAGGAACCGGCCCTGCTGACATCATACTAATTGTAAGTAACATTAAAAAAAATACAGTCCTTTTGATAGTTATAATATGAAACTTTTGCGTGACCATATCATACCACTGTCTCATATTCATATTTTAACACAGATGGCAAAAAGATCATTCCATAAACAGATCTTTTAAACTCAAGGTACTTCCACAATCAAGGCAAAAAAGTACACAAGAACGTCCATTTCATACCTACAGGGATCTTTCATTGGGGTTTTGGTAAAGCCTTTATTTCATTCTGAATAGATATGAAATTCATGCAATGTCTACGCATAGTTGACCATTCGAATTTTTGTAAACGACAAGACTATGAAATAAAACCTTTAGATTGAGCGAATTCAGAAGTCTAGTACAGAAGTTTTATGCCAAGGATTGATAACAAATAATGACAGTCTTGATTCGTCAGATTCGCCAAACCTCCTCAGAATGTGAAATTTGGAATTTCGGTAAAACTACATCCACAGATGATGATACTGGTCATTAATGGTCTTCTTTTTGAAAATTCATTGATTTAGAGAGTCTTTAGGTATCTGATTTAACATTTTCTAGGATAACTCAAAGATAAAGAAACCACAGATGTCTTTACAAGCGATGGTTGCAATTAAACCCAAAAAACCTTCAGGGCTACACTGTAAATTATTATGAATGAGCCTTCCAGAGTGGTTAGAAATTACTGATACTTTCTACAAGCCATGGATGCTCGCATCTAGCATCTATTTTTACTATTTTTTAAAATTTCCGGGTTTTGAATCTCTTATCTGATAATAAAACAGGTGATATGGGTTTTCCTGCCTGACCTATCATTAAACAAAACTGGAAACCTAGTTTTTCGACAACCATTTCATTGAAAGGACTAGCAAATGAATATTCTTTCTAAAATGGCTAGAAGAGGAATCTACACCATACCCTTGAAGATGTATGGAAATTTCACTAGTTTGTTAAGATTGGCAGCAAAATTTATTTTATCCCCAAAACAAAACCCCCAAAATTATTAAACCCCCTCTCTCCCATTGTAACTAACCGCAATCTAAGTTAAGCACCATACTTGATCACAAACAATGTATAATAATTCCACGAACATTCTATTCGTTAAACCAATTTTGTTAACAACATTTAAGTGTTTTGATTTCGAGGAGCTCCTATTCGTAATTTATCTTTTACAACACTGTCAAACTGTCAAATAGCAAACTGTCAAAACAACCGTTAACTGTAAAATGAAAGCGAATTTTGAAGAGCAAATGTTCAAATGCGCTGATTGATTCTTATTTGTTGAAACTATAAACTATTACGACACATTTTTATCGAATCAAGGCAAATTTGCTGTGTTCCATTACCATTAGAATTCAAAGGCACTAGGAATACCAAAGATTTATGTTGAAATGCATCTAGACGGTCAAAAACAGCCAAAAAAGAAAATTATTTACAGAACACATATTTACTTGACAATGGCTTACCGTGTTTGGCCCTTGAATGAACCTGAAGTGCAGTTTAGCTACAGAGCAGTAGATATGTGACAGCAAGCATCTATATTGAGGTGCCATTCTC